CCTGGAGGCCAGCTCCGAGTACACGGTGCTCAGCGTGTCCGATGCGGGTGCGGAGGGGCCCGTGGCGGGGTCCAAGTCCCCCATCTTCAAAGCCAGCGCCCCTCGGGAGAGCCATGCAGGCTCGGGCCGCAGCGCCGCCGATGGACGCGCAGAGGAGGTGTGCGAGATCAAGCAGAGCGCCTCCGAGACGGTCAAGGGCATCTTCCTCCGCAGCCAGAACAGTGCGTTCAGGTCCTGGAAGGAGCGAGAGGCCGAGAAACGGGAGGACAAAGCCCCCGTGGGGAAGCTGAAGCTCCCCAAGGGGGGCGACTGGAGGGCTGATCTCGGGGAGGTCTCGGCCAGCAAGTCCACCATCATGTCCCGTCTCTTTGTCCCCAACATCCAGCAGACACCCAAGGAGAAGCAGCCGGGGAAACAGGCCACCAAGTACCCTGCGGCCCAGGCCACGTCCACGGCCGTGGTCGGGCCCAAGGCCCCGGAAATCAAGATCCGGTTGGGCAGCGTGCAGCAGCCAGGCTCGGACTTCAGCATCGCCAAGCTGCTCACGCCCCAGCTGGCCGGCGGCAGCTCCTCCGGCCTCCTCAAGGCAGCTGAGGACAACGCCCGGGGCCCACAGAAACTCTTCCGGGGGGACAGCCTGGAAAAGGTGCCCCAGTTCCAGGTGAGGGACGTCAGGGACAAGTCCAAGGCCCAGGGCCCCCTCCACCAGGTGAGGGACGTCAGGAAGCTCATCAAGGGGTCCGGAGACAGCAGCGACAAGGGCAGCGTGACCCCCGAGCAGGGGCTGAGCGGGCCCAAGCCCAGGCCGCTGGCTGCTGCCGCTGGCGCATCCAGGTCCCTGTCCCCCTTGGTGATCACGTGCCAGGCCGTGGTGAACCAGAGGGAGGACGGCGCGGACCGGGAGCTGGGGGAGAGCCTGGGCAGAGGGGGCAGCGGCGGCCTGAACCCCTCTTCGGCAGAAGGGACGGTCTTGGTTCACCGGGCATCTGGGAGGCTGCCTGTGGCCACCATCGCCCCCAATAAGCCCGAGCAGGGCTCCTACCTGCCTGTGCTCAAGATCATCTCCAAGGCCTCTGCTCAGAAGACCCCAGAGAAGGCCAAGGACGAGGAGGCCAAGGAGGAGGGGAAAGGCCCCAAGCCATCGCGGAACGCCCTGGAGAAGCTGACGGCCGCGGTGCGGTCTATGGAGGAGCTGTACAGCTTCGACAGGCACGAGTGGAAGCGCAAAAGCGACCCCTTGCCCACGATGACCGACAGCCACGTCCTGTCGCTCATCGCTAGCGAGGAGAGGGGAGGGGCCGGCGGTGCCGAGGGGGACCCTGACAAGCTGGCCAAACGGCTGGGTGAGGTGGGAGAGCACGGCGCGGGCCACAAGGACGGAGTGGTCCTGCGTGCGGCCCCCTTGGAGCGCCTGCAGCGGAGAAACTCCAACCCGAGCTCCGAGAGCGTGTCTGCCCGCGCGGCTGCCTTCGAGAACCTGGCCAGGGAGCGGCCCCGATCCCTCTATATTCCCCCAGCCCACAAAGATGGGGAGAGAACCCAGCCCCTGCAGCCCCTGCCCCCACTCCCCAGCAACAGGAACGTGTTCACGGTGAGTGCCAGCAGCATCCAGAAAACTGGGGGTGTCGCTGGCAAGTTCCCCCAAGGGCTTTCTCCAGAGAGTCCTTCCGCAACAAAGGGCAGCAAATCTCAGGGACTCCGGTCCCTCAAGATCTCTCCGGCCACCCGGGCACCGCTTGATGAGGCGCCCAGCAGGAAAAATGGCAGCAACTTGGTAAAGAGCAATAGTGACTGTGAAAATTACCTGACCATCCCCCTTAAAGGAAGCTCTGCAGCTGGGCCTGGGGCCAGGAGGGAGGGGCCCCCAGCCTCCTCTGCAGCCACTCTCTGCAGCTTGCCCCCCCTGAGTGCTCGCAGTCAGGTCCCCAGTTGCCCCAAAGGTTCCCAGGTCAGTGGAACCAGCCGGCCAGCTTGGCCTAGCAAACCTGACAACCCACGGCAGTCGGTCGCTGCCCCCTCAGGGCCCCAGAGCCCCGGGCATCCCCCCACTGCTATCTACCACCAGCAGCCACTGCCCTTCCCCCTGCAGGGGGCCCAGCCCCAGGTCCTTTGCTTCTCCCCACCTGGCATGCCCGCCCCAGCACCTGCAGGCCCAGCTCCGGTGCCCACAGATGCCTTCCAGCAGCCACAGCCTCAGCAGACCCAGCGAAAGATGCTCCTGGATGTGACGACCGGCCAGTACTACCTGGTGGACACACCGGTACAGCCCATGACCCGGAGACTGTTTGACCCCGAGACAGGGCAGTATGTGGATGTGCCCATGACCTCCCAGCAGCAAGCAGTGGCTCCCATGTCCCTCCCTGTGCCTCCCTTGGCCCTGAGTCCTGGGGCCTATGGACCCACCTACATGATCTACCCTGGGTTTCTGCCCACAGTGTTGCCTACCAGCGCCTTGCAGCCCACACCAGTTGCTCATACTCCAGGGGGGAGTGAGCTCTCCCAGATGGCTGCAGAGAGCCCCAGCAAAGAGCCAGCTGCCAAGTTCACCGAGGCCCCATACTTCATGGCCTCTGGTCAGTCTCCCACCTCCGCTTCTTCCTCGGCCCCAGCAGCCACATCCCAGCTGGTGGGGGCCAAGGGCTTCGCCCAGCTGCACAGCAAACCTGTCATCAGCATCACTTCCCAGCCCCTGGGGCCGAGGATCATCGCGCCCCCCTCCTTCGACGGCACCACCATGAGCTTTGTGGTGGAGCACAGATGATGGGCAGTCACCAGGAAGCAGGACGGAGCCGCTGCTGGTGAGTGAGTGGACTTTGATAATCAGTTTTCAGGGGTCAAGAGCAATCCTGTTTCTCGGTGTTTGAAATGGCAGATTTATAGCACAGGAGGCTGTCTAGAAATGGGCCTTTTGGGAAAATAGAACAAAACCCCACCCAAATTATTAAGGAGCTAAATTTTTTTCTGCCATGCCTCCTCTTCTCCACACTCCTCAGTCCCTGGGGCCTTTCCCCTTTGACCTTTCAAATTGCCTGTATGTTTTTTCTCACCTGTGAGTCGGGAAAAGTGAACCTTGGATCTGTCAGGTCAGCCTTTGGTGAAGGTTGACAGGGGAGAGAAACAAAAGCCCCGTCCAGATTCCATGGAGTGAGCCTCTATTCCTGGCAACCCCAGCGGCAGAAGGCAGAACATCCTGAGAGACCGTTGGGAACACTGTTAATGGGCTTGCTCCTCGTTTTCTTGTTAGGGGGCTTTCTGAAATCTGCAGAAAAGCTTCTCTCCTTCCTCCACATCTTCTTGAGGTTTCTTTTACAAAGAGACTGTATTTTTTAAGCTCTTGTGTTTCTGTTTTCAGACAATCAGAATGCTTTTTCTTAGACGAATCTAAGGTCTTTAGGTTACACACACACACACACACACACACACACATACTTGACCTTTGTGAGGGGGGGAGATTACCTAGCTGTGGCTTCCTGGAGGGGCTGCTATGTTTGATCCAGTCGCTCAGACGGAATCCACTGCTCTCAGCTGCCAGTCCCTATAAGGCGTCATTTTCATATCTGCATTCGCTCCCTTCAGAAAAGAAACAACTTCCACTTGCCCCCCTCGAAAGGAAATGAGATAGATTCCTAACACCTCCGTTAATCCAAATTCATAGACAGGAATCCTTGCTGTAAACACAGTCCAAGAAACTTGATAGGAAAAGTGAGCCTGAATCAGGACACTTCAGGTCACACACATAAGAAAGATAGTGGCAAACTTCAGATCCGGCACAGAGATGTCAGCACTGTGGGGGCACATCGCCCCTCATTCCCCTGTTCTCTTCAAACTAGGAAGGGCTGGCATTGTCAATGTTTCTTGGACTTTCACTCCTTGGTAAGATGATACCGAACCAAGAAAGGAGACGGAGAGGGGAGAAACCCCTTCCATGCATGTATAGAAGAGAAGTAAGCCATGTCTCTGTTCTGAACTGAGAAAGAACAGAGGAACATTGTTTCACTGGGCAACGAAAGAGCCTTAGGAAGTAGGATCATTAGATTAGAGTCACAGCTTCCTCCCACCAGATGTGTGTTCTTGGGCTGCAAACGCTCACACTCATGATACTCATGTGCCAATAATATCTACTCCTCAAAATGTATTGTGGGGGATGGTGGAGGAGGAAGAGGGCAAAGGGGATAAATGGTGCTGGAAAAACATAATAAAATGGAATAAATGTATCTGAATATCCGATGATATAACAGCATATTGCAAATTAAAAACCCTTTTCAAATTAAGGGGTTATTACATTTATTGAACTACAAGACAACATAAAGCCACTGTTCAAAAATCCTTGGGTCTGTCTCGAAGAATTCAGGTGAAAATGCAAGCCTCATTTTACTCACAATCTAGAAATAGATGATTCAAAATATTTCTCTTTAAGAGTTTGCCACAGGCACTGTGTGATGATCACAAATAAAGAGGGAGGGGGATGAAAGATAAATAGTGCATCTTTTGTCTGATGTAGAAAATAAAGGGAAATTCAGTATGCATGTGGAGGAGAGTCAGAATTAGAGAATTAGTTTTGCAGAAGGAAAAGAGTAGCCGCTAGATAAAAGTGTTTTAATCTTCTGGACAGGTGGTGCATTTACCTACGGCTATTTTGGAGCAGCTAATCCTGCAAGGCCTTTGTGTGAGCTGAGGAGGCGCAGAGACAAGGGGAAGGGAGGACAGGGGCAGGGGAGGGACCAGGCACACACTCGCCTGCAGTCCCCTTGGCAGCTGCCTTTGGCCTTTCTCCTGTCTGCTGAGTCTGGAGAGGGTAGGCTTGGAGTTGCTTCCACCAGACGCAAAGATAAACCAGAGCTTTTAGTATTTAATATTTGAACAGTGATTATTTTGAAAGTTTATTTCTTTTTGAAACACAACCTTTATGTTAGTCCACCGCCCTAAAGATAGACAGAAATCAAAAGCTGGCTTCACCATCTAAGACGACTGGTGAGGAACTGATTCGCTTTTTGTGTACAAGCAAAAATCTAGTTGTTAAAACTCAGATAACTGCCTGGCTGGCATAGCTCAGTGGTTGAGTGTCGACCTATGAACCAGAAGGTCATGGTTCAAATCCAGGTCAGGGCACATGCCCTGATTGTGGGTTCAATCCCCAGTTAGGGGCATGCAGGAGGCAGCCTGTCAAAGATTTGCTCTCATCATTGATGTTTCTCTCTCTCCCTCTCTAAAATCAATAAAAATATATTTACAAACAAACTCAGATAACTAACAAAAATCCTTCAAAACTCACCTTCCTGAGCATTCTTTGCCCAAAGAAAAATCAGACACATAAACAAGGATGTAGTCTTTTCCTTGTATGAAAAAAATTTTAAACACTGTTCAGCTATATCAAAAAGTTACATTGTACACACTCATTCATCACCTGATGCTCATGCGGATGGTCTTTGTGAGAAGTCTTGGAAGCAGGTGTCAGGTCTAGATTTCCTTTGAAAACCAGAGATTTTCCTGGAGGTAGTAGTGTCCGGCTCTATGTGGCCCTTTCAAGGAAGTCACTTAAATGATTTGATCCAATCACAACATTTCACAGAGCAGAAAACTGGGGCTTAGAAAGAAATGGTTTTGTTCTGAACTGGATCCTGAACCAGGAAACAAAAAGGCTATAGGGTACATTATTGGGATAATTGACAACATTTGAATATAGAATTTTGAAATAGATTATGGTATTGTATCAATGTTAGATATCCTGATTTTGATAACTGTTCTGCGATCATACAAGCAAACGTCCTTGTTTATAGGAAATACACACTGATGTACTTAGGTATCTATAATAATAAAAGTGTAATATGCTAAAAAAAAAAAAAAGAAAAGAAAAGAAATGGTTTTGCTCAAGACCCCAGAGAGTGAGAGAGCCAGGCCTGCGGAGCGCACGTAGCTCCTGGCCACACTGTGCTCCCAGGTGTTCTGGCCGTGTTTGCTCCTTGGTAGGCGGCCTGGAGCAAAGGACGGATGCAGAGGAGCCAATGAGATCCGAACTGGCAGCCAGGACGCCTGGGCCCTCCTCTCTGCCTCTCTGGACATTTGTGAAGTGAACGTTTGAATGAAATGTGCTAAGACCCTCATTCATTTAACAAACATGAATTGCATGTTTACACTCTACCAGCTACCGTGTACTACGAGGTGACCCTAAGCCCCATGGGACCTGGTACGGTCCCGTCAGCAGGAGTCTACACTCCAGCAGGCGGCACACACCAGACACACAGAACTGCAAAACCAGTTTCCAGTCCTGTCTTAACCTTTAAGACTCCTGCCAGCTCAAATAATAAGGGTTTCATCATCTATTTTTAGCGGTGCCTTGTAGCAGGGAGCTCTGCTTTCTCCCCTATATATATTTGAGCATAACAAGCTGCTGCTAGCTCTTTCTAATTATTTTGGTATGAATTTCCCTTTAGTTTTGCTTTTATAGGTGGTTCTTCCCCACTTCTAAGAAGATAATTAGTCAAGTTTTTATTTTATTATGATTTAGTAGTGACATTGCAGGCTGTGAGAAGTGCAGGGGGCTGTGTATATCCGGTAGCCCAGTGGCCAGATAGTCACAACAGGAACCCATTTGTAACCTACCAGTATGCTAGGCACAGCGGTTGCAAAACTTCACTACTTTCTCCTTTTTTGTTAGTACTTTTCCTGTTATAGACCCTTGTTTATAGATTTTTGTTTTGAAAGTCCCAGCTCCACAGGATCTTAGATGCCTTTTCCAATTAGATTATTTTTGTTTTTAGTTTTCTCTCTTTAGAAGCACATAGCTATATTGTTCCTTCTCTGACATATTTACTCGCATGCTTTCTCCTGCCCACCCACTTGGATGCCACGTTTTTGTTTTAAAAGTTTTATTGAGACTTGATACTAAATACCATTTGTAATGGCATAAAGATAAAATAAATATGTAATATAACAAAAGAAAACTTTAATTGGCACTAAGCCTGCTATGCCATGGGTATTGCAATTATTTTGTTATATTTCAATGTCTTCTTTTCTGTAAGATTTTATCCATTTATTTCTTCATTTTTTCCTTTATTTTTGTTGTTGACACTATTACAGATGTCCCCATTTCTCCCCCTTTGCCCCCCTTAACCCAACCTTGGCCCCCCCTTCCCTCTGGCCATCACCACACTGTTGTCTGTGCCCATGGGCTATGTACATATGTTCTTTGGCTAATCCCTTCACCTTCTTTCATCCAGTCCCCCTACCCCCCCTCTGACAGCTGCCAGACAGACTTTCTTCATTTCTGATGTGCCCTACGTGGCTACTACATGTTGGTCTTTCTTTTCTCCTTTCTTCCTCAGAGTTATTTTTACCCTCTGGATAGAGCCCCACAGGTCAGCAACTGAAGTGGAAAGGGAAAGGTGGCTGGATTCAGGGGAGCTGTTTTTGTAGAGTGTTCTGAGGGGGTCCTAGCGAGATCCTCAGATCATCAAACCCTGTTCCTTGTGTTAAACACTGCAGGAGGAAATGGGGCCTCAGAGAGGTCAGTGGTCCTTCTCCAATCAGTGTCGCTTTGGGGCAGAGTTGTGACCCAAACCCCAAATGACCCCATACCAGAGTCTTCTTATTCACTTTGCTTCTTTCTTATTGCCCTTGAGTCCCCTTCTCCTTTTCTCCCCAAGGCCACTCTTCTTCGGTGGTCCCCTCCCGGGCATCCATCGCACTAGTGCATTCCCTCCTTTCTGCCCTTGCTGTGTGTTAGAGAATTTACTTTTTGTTCTTTGCTATTTTTTTTTTCTTCAGGAGTGGGGATCTTTTATTCTTATTGTGGTTTTTCCTTTCCTATTCACTTCAAGCTGATTTAGTTTAATGTCTCACCTTGCTTCTTCCCTTCTTACATTTTTGTTTCTAGTTTGTTTTAGCCACAGCCTGGACAACTTAAAGGGCCAGTGCTCCCTGCCAGCTCCCTCACCAGCAGGATTTTTGCAGCTTTGTGCAGGAGGCCAGGTGGCTGCAAGGTCAACATTACATTTTCACTTCACTTCATAATTACATTCCTGGATCAATTTGTTTACTTCTATTTTTCTCTGACTTGGTTGTGACTTCCTCTCCCAATTATTATATATGGCTATTGTTTTATTTTATTATCGTCTTAATGTCTTTTCTGCACTTCCCCCCCCCTCCCTTTCTCTCCAAAGGATTGCAGCTTTCCTCTTGCTTTTAATTTTGTGCTTCTCTCAACAATTTTATTGCCTTTATTATTTTCTTCTCTATCCTCTACAAAATCAATAAAAATGAAAAAAATAACAGCTAATGTGTATTCACCATTTCATATATGCAAAGATTTAACACCATACTTTCTGATTCTTAAAACAAGTAGGTACTATTTTCATCTCTAAATGACAAGTGAAGAAATTACTTGTCCCAAACGAACATATCATTTGTAGCCCAGGCCCTCAGGCTCGGTGGCTGCTCTCTTACAGGTGGCCCTTGTCTGCCCTTCTCTTACTCTCTGCCCTCCAGATCTCAGTTCTTCATTGTGAATTGTCCCTCTTTCATCATCTGGGAAAAAGAGAAAGGAATAAGGTCAGAAATTGACCTTGAATCTGTTATTGTTTAGCATATATCAAACCTTCATGTGTATTATTCTTTTGATTAAAAACATCAGCAGTCCTTAGTTATTAGGACATTGTATGCCCCAAAGAGGAATCTGAGCCAGTGCCAGCATTTCTAAGGGCTGTGGCTCTCCGTGATGGGGCAATTCTGTGTGTGTGTGGACGGAGGGGGGAGGGAAGGGTGTGGGATGTCCCCTGGAGGCCAACGGGTTCATGCATTTTAGTTGGAGGGGAGCTCTGTGGCTTGACTAAAGCCCAAGTATGTGCACCTTGAAGGCCGGCAGCCCTGGCCCAAGTTCTAGTACTCTGACTACTCTGGACAGTGACTTGCTCTCTCTGAGCTTCAGTTTTCTCAACTCTGTGATGGGGATACCTCGCAGGAATGTTGTGATGATTAACTTCATAAGACTGTTACAAAGGACATATCATATAGTTCCCGGTATGTAGTAAGACTTCCGTCTGTCTTGGAGGCTATAACCTCATAATGCTTCCGAAGCTCCTCATCTCTCAGGGGCCCTCACCCGAGCAGAAAAATCAGGCCTCATCCTTGTAACTCCCAGGGCAGCATCAGGAGCCCGATCCAGGATTGTTTTTGATTTCTCCAAACTGGAGGCCATGTCCATAGCTCTGCAGTCGGAGCTGGCTGATCTCTGGGGACAGGTCAGCTGGCTGTGAGTCAAGGTATTCTAGTATCTCCCAAGCTTTCCAGCAGGTTATACAACTCTGGGCTGAGACTGGCAGCTGCATGGTGGTGATTTTCCTCTCTGTCTGGGCACAAGCCTGTGTGAAGCAAGGGGAACTCTGACCCAGCGTCACCTCTGAACTCTGTCATGTGCTCTGGTCCTACAGTCATGGGCGTCACCCAGGCCAAACTGTCTTGGTGACACAGCATAGTCACGTCTCTCATCTTCACTGAATTCTTCACAGGCCTCTAAATCATCGGTTAAACTGGTGATTTTTTATTATTTTATCCTTAAAAAGAGTTGGAGTAACTTTATTACTTTCAAGATTTCTAATAAAATTCCTCTTGGGTGGGTGAAAAGGCAGAGTCCGGTGATGGATCCCTGAAAATGTCTCAGTAGATTGTAGAAACAGATTGTCCCTTCGTTTCTCAACATTCAGAAGTCCCCCTCCCCTGCCCACTTTGATTTGCATAGAAATGGTTCTTTGTGGTCTTCTATTTTCTTCTCTTCCTGTTGTAATTATATTTCCTTTTCCTGTTGCTACTTTATATGTCAACAGGTAGCAAAACTTAAATTTAGCAAATGAAAAGTCTCCAAACTCACAAAGGTCCCTTTTCATCTTGAAGGTCATTCCTTAATATAAAATACAAATGAATAAAATTAAAAGAACATGAACTATTATACATATGAAATCATAATCATTCTTATAGACTTCTTTTTTTTAAAGCATATATTTAACAGGTCAGTTTCTGGATGACAGGATTAAAATGTCCCTTGCTGGCTTCTGTGATTGCATATAATTGATTAGCTAACTGTTATTTGATACTTCTTGAAGGTTACTTTTCACATGATAGTCTTCTTAATCCCTCCCAAATATTACCTGTAGGCCACTCTATTTCTGTCTTTATAATACCAGTATTATGTTCAAATATCAACTCTCAAATGTTAAAAAACAAAGTTCTTTAGGCAAAGTTCTAGTAGACATACTATAGAGAAAGATCAGCACAAAGAGCTAATTTTTAGTAAGCTTTTGAACATGTCAGTTACTTTTCTTATAACTAGGGGCCTGATGCATGAAATTCGTGCAAGAGTAGGCCTTCTTTCCCCCGGCTACTGGCACCCGCTTCCCTCTGGCACCCGGGACCCAGGCATCCCTAGCAGCACCGGCTTCATCTGGAAGGTTGTCTGGAAGGACATCCGGTCTAATTAGCATATTACACTTTTATTATTATAGATGTATTTAACTCCATTCTAAGGCATAGGCTCTAACCAGTATATCTTATTCTAAACAAAATTTACTAGATGAAATTCCACATAATTTAGGTAGTAATCATTCATTCACAAAAATTCTCAGTATAGAGTTTACTCTTTGAACTAGATTACTAACTCATAGTAAATTCAATTTCTGCATAATATTTTAGGAACATATCTATTACACTGTTTTATCTCTGCTATGGATGATTTCAATGAAACTGAACATTTCATTCTAAAATTATTTTTGTATAATTCATTGGATTTAATTTTCAAAGAGAAGTTTACCTTTGGGCACTTTCCTGAAGTCAGTATACTGTCTAGTAAGTTCAGAAACATATTTGCCAAATACATTTTGAAATATGAACTTCATCATAATTAATATTGAAATCAGAAGAATAGTTATATAAAATGCATTTTGAGATTTTTTTGCTTCTTTAAAAATGAATTTTACTTCTAGAATAACCATCTCTTCTTATCTATGCTTGTTTATAGGAGCAAGACAGAAAGATGGACTATTCTTCTTTAATCTGAAGGTTGCATTGTAACAGCACTAAGAATTCATCTGAAAAACTTCCTCTACATGTGTTATTCTTAGTTTTTGCTTCTTATAAACCAAGAGTGTAAGTTTCTATATTTTCCTGAACAACGCTGTTAAGAAAGTTTGTGCTATTTTAGTTTTACTAGGCTGATTGAATGGTTGCATTATTCCCCTGTAAAAATCATTTCTTTTTATACTTAATACAGGACATAAGCTTTTTATTTATCTTTTCCTCCATTTGGCTAGACAAAATAGCCCTTAAGTATTTTCATAGTTCAATCAAACCATACAGCAGAATGGGGTTTGTTCTATTGTAAACCAACCAGTAAATCAATAACTTGGAATTCAAATCACCTTATAGGTTCTTGGAATACATGAGGACTAGCTGGTAGAATTGCAGCGCATGCTTGGATTTTAAATATGATGGGTCCTCACTTTGAATCATATACCAGCCAAGCCTAGTCATTCTCTTGGTTATAATCTACATGCTCTTTTATTGGGTTTAGCATGATTTCAGATGTGATTGTGAAAAATAGTGGTTTTAACTTTTGTGCTTTGTTTTAATTTTCCAACTTGTACAATGTCATGACACTATTTGTTGTCTTAAAATAGAATGGCTTAAAATACAGAAGAGCCAGTGATTATATTTAAAATTAAGTTCTTAGTCTCAGGAAGGTATAAAATATCAATTTCCCTCTAGTAACCCAAACTTCGTTATGAGCGTATAGCAATTTTTTGTCTTCTTCAATGATTCCCTCCATAGTTGCATACTCCTGGCTCTCACGGATTGTTTGGAGTCCGAAGAGTGACTGGTTTGGGGTGATAGAGCAGAATGTAAGCTCTTATTCAGTGGCTCTGGATCTCTCCAGCCATACCAAGAGCAGTGACCTAGGGTTACATCACTTGTTCATTGTGGTTGTAAGAGATGACAAGAGTCCAAATCACAGAATCTTGCAACATTCAATACTGCCTCAGTTGTAACCCAGTTCTGAAGGTCATTTTAATGAGTGTTCACAGTGAGTCTTGAAGAGTTGATTGATCAGATAAATATTTAACTTGTCAGAATTAATAAGTGTGTCAAATATATATTCGACAAATGTTACATTAGAATATTTTTTACTGATTAAAAGAGTACCTTGAAGGTTTTCCCAGGCTTTCTAATTTAAGGAATCCCCTCTTCTTTACTGTTGTTCAAAGATAAAGCATTCTGGTAATTTTTTAAAAGCCTTATTTTGATTATAATAGTCATCAATATTTGGTTTCTGCTTAAAAATGCTTCAAGGCCACAGAATTTTATGCTATTCATGACTGAAGGTGTGGGTAAAAAGTGATGAGACTAATTTTTGTATGATTTATGTAATCTCGTTATTTTGTAGTTATGCTTCCTATCTCAGACTCTTAAAAAATAACCCAGTTTCATTTTCAAGGCCTTCCTTACAGGGATATTTTTTTTTTAGAAAATATGTTGGATAAAAGGAAAGGTTTGAGGGAGAAATAATTGGCTCTGCTCACAATTCAATCAATCATTGGGTTGAGGAGCTATGAAATGCAGTGATAGCCTCTATGAGACACGAAACAGGAAATATGAAGCAGCCTCTGAATATGGAAAAGATGCCCTTGTGCCATATTGGGGAAAGTATCATTCTTTTGTCATAGAGGTCTTCTTACCCAGGTGCACCAGCAGATCCGCCCCAGAATTTACTGAATTTTTCACCATTGGGAACTAATTACAGCATCAGCCCTTGCTCATTTTCAGTGGAGATTGGCTTGGTATGAGGTCACTTTGGGTGGGTAGTACTAGAATTGATAAGATTGGTTTAAAACTATGTGTGACTTGGAGGAAACGCCAGTGGTCATGCTGAGGAGTCACCTGCTGCCCACTCTCCAAAATGAGAGACTCCCCTTTCCTAGAATATGTGGTAAAGTTCTATCTACCAAGGGTCTGGGGCCCCATCTGCTACTTCCCATGATTGATCACCAGCAGATCTGAGCCTTAAATTCTCACATTGAGGTAAACTAGGACAGACACTAGGAAAGAAAGGAGAACTTCTCACTTGTTGGTTCTATCAGAGAGGCCAAGTCCTCTGAGGAGCTGACAAGGATATAGTAAATGTCTAAGTGGTTAAGAATGTAACTTTAAAATAATATTCTATGAATATGACATTGTCTATTGATAATTTTGTGGTTCTCTATTTCCTTAAGCCATACAAAGCTGCTAGGCAATTTACTACCTCAAATGATAGTGAGGAACATTTTAGAAGACCTGAGATAAATATAAATCCTCATCGTCATTGTTTTATCATTTCTTGAGGTTGCATTGATGTTTGAATGAAGTGGTGGTGCCCTTCCTTTTCAACCAAAGTTAAGTAGAATAAGAGTCTATAAACCTTCCAACCCATAAAACTATCATCCTAACACTGTCCCTTTAGCTCCTGAACTACCCTCTTATGTTTCAATACACAAAACTATTTGTGAAGCATGTGGCATTTCCTAGATAGTACCTTGAGTTCACATCAAATTAAATTTGCAAAGTCTGGCTTTTGCCATTTTCTCTCAGGGTTACAAATATGACTCAGTTTTCCAGAGGAACCACAGTGCATTGTGGGTAGAAATGCTGACCCATTTCCTTTTTTTCTTATGGTTAAATTGTCAGGTTGAAATATACTCTATTTGATTTGGTTTTGGAAAACTGAACATATTTATAACCAGTATAAAAATTAAATTCACCAGAATGTTTTTTCTTAAAACCACTCACTGAAATTGCCCTAGGGTTAAATAAAGCCCAGATATGCAGTCAGTGACTTAGCTTATAGGCTGTCTGTATGTCTATATATGTCTTTGTGTATATGGCTCTTTCTGTATCATTGAGTAAATAAGCTAAAACTAATTAGATCTTGATATCACTATAATAATTCTCAATGGTTACACACATTTCAAATCCATCCTTAGATCACTAGGAAATGCCTAGTAATATAAATTGTTCTTTAATTTCAGATTTGACTTTATTTTTGCCTCTTGAGGAGATTTAATGTGCTTAAATTATTTTTGTACTCCATGTGTTTGCTGCAAATTGAATGTTCATGCTACCTGAAACACTTTGGACTGCAAGACAGTATTGATTACTAAGTAGATTGACTATACTCATGATACATATATATATACTGGTACATATATATGTGTGTGTGCAAGAGAAAACATATTCAATGATATTCTCTGTGTTTAAAAACTATCATGGTATATATTTTCCTATGTGGTGCTTGAGGAGTTTCATTCTACAGTTTACAAGGTGTAGGTTTGCACCCCAAATTCTCAGGGTATGCTATTTTACCCAAATACTTGAAAGAAAAAGGTGCCCTGTATTTTATCAGTACTGTTGAGGGGGAAAATGATAAATTATGTGTAGGTTTGTTTTAGAAAAATCAAATTCATAAAATATGTCAGCCTTTTACAGAATTCCTAAGGAGATATACATATAGATATGATATATATTTTCAAGAGACTGTTTCTACATTCTTAACTAACTTCTGGGTCCTCAGTAGACCTTACAGGTGCATAAAATCATTAATAAAACATGTAGCATTTGCTAAATTGTACTTTGAACTTGAATCTAATCAGAATTGTAGACTCTGGGGGGAAAGTGTGTTTATCCGTGGCACATGTGATTACAAGGCCCAGGGGAGGATTCTGAAAATTGGACTTGTTTGTACGCCCCATGTCGCAGAAGAAAACTGAACTTCACAGCAGTGTTTGTAAGCTGTTAATATTCTCGTTCCATGTTGCAACTAGAGCATATTATTAAATGTATTCCCATTTAATTCTTTAATTCACAATGGTGCAGAATAAAACACACACAATACATATAATTTGATTTCTTTTTTAAGTTTCATAATTGCTTTTTACAAGCTAGTGTTAATGGCAGAGTTCTTTGAAATTACCTATCGTACCCATATCTATTTTCTAATGGGCAATCCCCCCCCCTTGAAGATGAAGGTGTCTATATTTACATTTAAAGAATATTATTGTACAGTAAAGACGGTGGTGGTTGAAAAGAATGTGAAGACTGAGGAAGTTATGTCCTAAAAAGAGAAGAGTAAATTGTGTGATGAATGAAGAAAGACATTGGATAAAGCTGAATTATATCCCTGGCTATGAAAAAAGCCAGTGGTAAATGGAAAGAATATGGACTGCTTTCACGATAGAAATCTTGGTGGATGTGTTCCTACCTTAGGTCTGATGCAACTCAATTAGAGAGTGCACTGAACTTGGCCAGTGGGACTGTGAATCCAGCCCAATAGCTCTGAGAATTACATTCTCGGTGTATTGCATATGGAGAAAACTACTTAGACAAAGACTCTGTGAGACTAGCCTACTGACCTTAATTGCCAGCATTGGTAGGTGATTGTGCAATCTTGCGTAATGGTCTTTTATTTTGACTCTTGAAAAATGTTTTGTTGTTGTGTTTTTTTCCAGTAAAAGTAACTGCAAAGAAAACATGCATTGTCTGTCTTTATTTTAACTCAAAAATAAACTTTGGACATTTTTATTTCCGTCTTCTAACTGAAATCCTTCATTTAACTAAAACACTCTGACATTTCATATCCAGGTTGTATTCATTTTCTACTGTTGCTGTAACTACAAACTTAGCAGCTTAAGAAGAAGCAAATTTATTATCTTGCAGTTCTAGAGTTCAGAAGTCTAGGATGGACCTTTCCCTGAACCCATAGTATGTCACCCGGCCAACCCAAGGAATCTAGCTGCTTGCATCATCAAGGAGCACTGTGAGGAGCACCTAACAAGGTATGTGATGCTCCACTGGCTCCACACCTAAATGTGATGTCCCTGAGGGCCTGCACTGAGGCCCAGCAAAGTAATTGCAGTTTCCCCTTCAAAACCTGAATAGAAGAGGCACTCATTTTGGAAACCTACTGCACAAGATCAATGTTGTAGCACATCCCTTAAGTCAACCACCGTTAACTGAAGTCACTATAATAAACCTTAAGATTGAAGCCCCCAAAAGACTTGAACCCACATTTCACAAAGAGGGACAACCAGGATTCCTCACATATGTCCAGGGTTGGGGGTGATCAGGCAAGAAAGCAAATTGAGGGCAGTCTCAGGCCTTATATTTTTCTAAGTCAACTCTGGCTTCCAGCTCTTGTTTCCGGTGAATTCTCATATTCCATTCTCCATCTTGCCTCAAGTGTGCACAGTTTTACTCTGCATTGCATTACCCCAGAAGACTTCGCTGCAGAACACCCATTCAATCCTGAGCATTCCGTGTGTGGCAGGATTTTGCTGAAGGCTTAGGGTACATGGGATAGAGATTTGCATGTGCTCCATCATATGGCAGCTAGCTACATTAGCAAACACTTTAAACCTGAACCACTTACATACCTGTTCTCAAATAGTCCTGTGCCATCTCTGAGACTAGAAAATTTTCACTGGTTGTTGAGTTCATTTGTGCATCAGCCACCGTCCCTCTCCCTCTTGTCATCCTCTGCTTCCTCTGTTCCTTAGCTTGCTGGCTCAGAACCCTCTAATTTCCTATTTCTTATATAGGGCAGTTTAGCCACCTATTGAATCCCTGCTAATGCAGATTCACTACACTATGTCCAGAAGACCTCATTTTCATGAACCATGCATAGCCACTGTTCTAGTTGTGTACTGCTGAGGAACAATCCACCTCAAAACTTGAGTCTTAAAAGCCACAAACAAGTTTTTAGCTCATTAATATGCAATTTGGACATAGCTGGGTATGGAAGGTTCGGTTCTACTTCACACATGAACTCAACAAGGACTTCAGAAGCTACTTCCATGATGGCTCATTCCCATGACTGGAGAGCCAATGCTAGCCATCAGCCAGGCCAGCTAGGGGCCTCAGTTCCTCTTCAGCTGGACCTCTCTCCATGAGCTGCTTGGGCTTCCTCCAAACATGGCGAGTGAGTTTCAACAGTGAGTATCCCAAGAGATAGGAATTGGATGCTGCCAGTTTCTTAAGGCCTCGCTCAGAAAGTAACATGGCATCACTATCACCTATTTGATACGCAATCACAGAACTGAGATTCAATGGGCAGGAACAGAGATTCTATCTCTCAATGGGAAGAGTGTCAAATAATTTGGAGACATGTTTTAAAACTATCATCCTCATTACAGGGTGTTTTTAAATAGTTACTTTTAAAAGAGGAATTTTAAAGTCAATTCCTCAATTACTGTAAGTTCAAAGATTCTAGAAAAAATCTAAAGAATGAGAGTAGTGTATAGAAGGTTTGATGGTATGCTTTTATGTGTGTTGGGCGTATGTTGGAGTTTCATAGGGTAGAAATCACTGTTATATTCCCAGTGTGGAGGATATTAATGTTCTTTAGGAATAATAATTTAAGAAGCCTACTATATGTCAGGTGCCCTGATTCACGAAGAGGTTAGAATTTCAGGAAGCCTTTAATATGGTGAGAATGCTGATATGCTGATGAAGCTAGCTAGTCTAAGTCTTGTCAAAGGCACTGTGATTGAAAGAGGAAACTGGCTAATGGCCACAAAGAAGAGATCCATGCCAATCACCCAGCACGGAGTGGGCAGGGAGCAAAGAGGGCTAAGGGTGAAGAGAACTCAGAAGGCCAGAGCAAAAGCAAGAGACTGAAAGTGAAGAAGCTGTTTAGTTTAGGGGCAAGGGGGCTACTGAAGGTGACAAGGGAGGAGTGTAGATAGTAGTAGCATGGCCAAAGCCCTTTGATAAGAGGTTTATCCCAACGGAAGTGTTGTGAAGAGTCATCAAAGACATAGCAAAAAACTGATATTTCTTTCTGCCCCTTGAAATTACAACCTGATCAACAGATAATCCCCTGAGTGAAGTGTTCTCGGAAAGCTTCTACACCTTCAGTACTACTTGGATAGACTAAGAACAGGTGTGTATTACACGCATATGTATTTACACACTGGATATAGTATTGCAGAATAACATTATATTCTATACATTATTATAATGTGAGAATCATAACAAGATAATATTACCCTTGGCCTAGAGTTAGCATTTCATAAATGTTAACTACTATGATATATATCTCCATTATAGCATTTCTACCTCTGAACATTTCAAATTCACTACTATATAGGTTGCTTAAAGATCCTCAAATTTATTTGCATGTTCTTTGAAGGAAATTTAGAAAATGTTAAAATATTCTAAAAACTGAAAAGTAGAACAATTTCTTAATTATTCAGAGGGACCTACTACACAAATTACCTTAAAAATAAATGCTTATAATTGTGTTTTGTAGACTACTTATTTACTTCATAAAATTATAAAACTACCTCTTTCCAATATTCTTAGAAGAATGATTTTTATCAGCTGTATCTTATTTCTTCATATTGCTATATCATAATATGTTTAATCAATCTCATATTTAAAAATATTTAGTTTTTATAATTTTGGGCTATGAAAATAATGCTACAACAAACATCTTTGAGCACAAATCTTTCCAGGCATCTCTGAATATTTCCTTGTGATAGACTTCTAAGTAGAATTACTGAATAAAAGGATATAAACGTTCTTAAAATTTTTGACACATGAGATTTTGAGTTATCTCCCTACCTCCCATACCCCAACTCTGCTACCCCCCCAAAACATGCAAACACACTATTTAGAAACTTCATATTTTAGCACTTCACTTATTGAAAATTACCCTGAAGATGGAGGAATAGGAGACTCATATTGGTTTGCTGGAATACATATTTTACTGCAGAAAATATGAACTACACACATACACACACACAGAGTGTGTGTGTGTGTGTGTGTGTGTGTGTTTACAAACATCACACCAATGATCTCCTTATGATTTTAAGTGTCTTCCTTTTTCTCTAGAGCAGCGGTTCTCAACCTGTGGGTCATGACCCCTTTGGCGGTCGAACGACCCTTTCACAGGGGTTGCCTAAGACCATCCTGCATATCAGATATTTACATTATGATTTGTAACAAGTGTGTGTGTGTGTGTTTGTGTGTGTGTTTACAAACATCACACCAATGATCTCCTTATGATTTTAAGTGTCTTCCTTTTTCTCTAGAGCAGCGGTTCTCAACCTGTGGGTCATGACCCCTTTGGCGGTCGAACGACCCTTTCACAGGGGTTGCCTAAGACCATCCTGCATATCAGATATTTACATTATGATTTGTAACAGTAGCAACATTACAGTTATGAAGTAGCAATGAAAATAATTTTATGGTTGGGTCACAACAGGAGGAACTGTATTTAAAGGGCCAGAAGGTTGAGAACCACTGTTCTAGAGCAAGACTCTCAAAGTGTGGTCCCCATACTAACAGCTTGGGCTTCACTGGGAAACTTCACCTCTTTATCATTGCAAATCCTCAGCCCGATTCAGGCCAGTTGAATCCAAAATGGAAAAGAGCTTCAGTGATCTGTTTTAAGGAGCACTCCAGGCGGTTCTCATGGACACGATTTTGAGAACCACTGCTCTGGACCCCAGGGCACTGGCAGCCATAAGTGTTTGGAAGAAACAAGAAGGCTGCTGCTCCCGAGTGAGAACTCCGGTCTTGACCCATCATGTTAGAGCAGTCCACAATGAGATAGTCCCTTTTTGATCCTCATTTTCTTCAGTGATTTTTTTTTTTTAATGGAGACTACCAATGCTTGTTTCAGGGTGTCTGCAAACATTTTTTAAAAGATCGTGCTTAAGAAATATTGCTTTCCTTCCTTTTCTGACAAAGTTAATCTAGCCTTTATTTTTTTTCCTTTGAAGGGAGTGTAAGAGCACTGGTCCCTGAAGAGAGAATAAACTGCTTTGCTATAGATGCTTCCTCCAAGGCCCATGTCACCACCAAGGACATATCACGTCCCCTAAAGGTTTTGATTTCTTTCTTTCCTCTTAGTAACATAACAGTAAGGGTGCCGGTCCAGGGTTTTATGAAAACTGGGCTTAAAGCTTGTTTTCAACTTCACAGGCCCTTAGGCGGTTCTGGCTGCTATTATTTTCAGTGGCCCATTTTCCCAAAGGGCTCTGACCTCCTTTTGGAATCTCTGGCCTGTTCTATAGGGTTGCAAAGGCTACTTGTGTATATGTCTGGGCTCAGAAATTGGCAAGAGCAGAGAGATATGGTGTTTAAAGTAACAAAAGACAAAAAGAATTCAATAGGATTTCCACATATTTATTTCATCACACATCATTTTAAATGTACAGCCAATAATAGGCTAGATCAATTTCTGTGGTGCGTGTGTGCGCGCGCATGTGTTTGTGTATACTTAATAAACAAATGAACATCTGTTATCTGTTTTGGGTTTATTACTATAAACACACTTTTCATTAATAAATATTTAAAAATGTTTAACATGCCTCTTCTAATTTGAACAAATAAAAATCTTTCCTTGATTTCATATTTTAGAAGTCCAAATCTATCAGTACTAAATTCTCTCAGCCAACTCTGGATTGTGTACAGATTGTAGTCACACAGACTAGAACTTTCATGACCAAACAGCTGAAGAAAAGATAAAATGATGACTACATCAAGATGTCCCTTATAAAGGACAGTGCACCACATTACGGTCTCCAAGAGACACAGCACACAAAAAAATCAAATGGAGTTTCTGAAATTAATATCTCTAAATCTTATGTGCTAAGTCCAGTGTTTTTATAGGGCGGAATGCAGAGGACTGACTATGTGGTCAGCAGAAAGATAAGATGGTATGTTAATGTTGTATGCCTTCTCCCTCAATGCTCAATAAAACTAACAACAGAGAGATAAATATCAATTCATGAAGCTGGCTGAAAAAAGTATTTAAAAGTCTTGTTCCCTCACACCTCCCATGGAAAAAGGTCTGTTTTGTTTTGTTTTGTTTTGTTTCCTGCAGGAATATGTTTGGTAGAAACAATACATGTTTAAGGTTCTATCAAGGGCTACATACACACTGAAAATTATTGAAACAAAATTGGGTTCTTCTGAGTGTGTGTATGGTATTTTTTAAATAAACAATAGTTTCTTTATAGGGAAGAACAATTCTCACTATATCAAATAGAATTTGCTAAAAGTATCACATTATTTTGGCTCAAAATTGATACTGTTAGTATTCTGAATAGGTCCAAATTTGGTCATTTGAGGTTTTTCACAACTTTTTACAAAAATCTTAAATACAGGTAAATATGTAAACACTGTGCTCTCAGAGAGCAAGCACTGAGGCATGTCACATGGTTTCCCTCCTGGGGAGATGAATTCAAGTGAAACATCACCAATCAGTTTCAAAACCAGCCCCCACCGCTGGAAGCACTCTCCGGCTGAGGGGGAAACACCACCTTGCACATATCAGCATTCTCTTGGTGGAGAGGGAATTCAGATCCTGGCACCAGCATTTCTTTTCTTTTCCGTAAGACGTATCCTTTGCCTGTAGACAGCCTTTCATACTTGGTCTCAAATTGCCTGCATAACAACAACAATAGCAAAATCACACACATAGTAAAGTCACCTCATGCCTGTCAGAGCCACGCTCTTATGTACACTTGAAGCTTCTGTGTCAAAGCGATTTGAGAAAGGATCGGAGTGCCAAGGGCGACCGGCTTCCATTCCCATGAATGGGGTGATGTTTTTCTCCCCCTTTCTTTTTATACAAACAGATACACTTCAAATGCTTGGAATATAGGAGGCTGCCAGACATTTTTCTGGAACGGAGGACTACATTCCTCTCAGCTCTTTGGAGATGCTGTTAAATTTTGCAAGCCTTGCTATGTCCCCCTCCCCTCATTCCAGGAGCCCCACTTTGGGCTCAGTCCCCTTGTGAGAAAGGAGCAAGTTTGACTGGATTTAAGATGAGAAAGCTGTAGCCAAAGGGAAATGTGGAACCAAACCAGTTAGCCCGGTGCCTGGATCGGTGATTACAGCATGTTGACCATTGGAAGGGTGGTTTTTAAAACTGCATTAATGGAGGTTTATTCTATACATACGTTAGTATAAACTAGCAACAGTTTAATATTCTGACTATAATCCACTATATTTTATTCTGCAAAAATATAACCAACTCATAATTATACTTATATCATTGATGCATATTTATATGGATCATGAAATGTCAAGAATATAAAGAAGGTGCTCAACTCTGGCTTACTTGTCAAAGAAGATGAGGAAGATATGGATTGCTGTTTTAAGCAGACAAATTGCTTTCATGGTTAACAATCTGTCAAGGAAACCTCTGCAACTCACAGTATCACCTAAACCAAAGGCATTTTACTTCCACATGATAGTATTGTTATGAATATGGTCACATGATTCGAAGGACACAGTGTAAAAGCTATAGAGTGGGAGAGTTGTTGGGAAATTTACATGAACAATTATATATTCAGTTTTTGAGATACTAAGAATTCTACTGAAAAATTTATAAACTCTCAAACTCTCAAGCTTTAGCCAAAACTTAAACAAGGTCGAGTTGCTGTTGTATGGATTACCTAAAAACTGTGAATTCAGTTGGGTTCCTTAACCATGGTAAATGATTTCATGTTTTGTTTTGAGCTCTCTGTCCAGTGGACAACTGTGAAGATACAGCTGATAGTAAATATGCATCCAGTATTTTTGCTGAAACTACATGGCAATTCTTATGGTAACCCTTTGTTTTCTTGATAAATTGTTTCTAGATAGAATATGATACCTTCTGAATTGAAAGAACTGATCATTACAGTTCCTTGGTATCCTAGAGACTGACTCAATTTTTAGCCTTATCAAGAATTCTGTTACTAATTTAAAGATAATTTGTTTCATGAATTTCTTTTTACCATTTTCTTTTAATTTCTGAAAGTGAACGTTGAAAACTGGGTGTGAGTTCCTGGTGAACTGGGGCTGGCCCTGGAACATTCCCCGAGCACTGCTTCTTACCTGTATGGAGCCTCAGCCCTGTCCATCTGCAGGCAGACTAAGAACGGGTACTGAGAAAACTGCACGGTGGAGACAAACTCCATGCTGGTCTCTGTTTCGGCACTGATTTCCAGGCCGGCTTTCACAAAAGAGGAGTCCACAGTGACGTCACCAGCTATTACCACAGCCAACCTAAAGATTTGAGGCAGAAAAAACTATTAACATTACATTGAACTGAGCTGGAATAACTGCTATAATTTCCCAAGATCTGAACTCATGCTACTGATGACCGTGAGGAAAGGGGCTAATATGTGACCTAAATGTGTTCAGAATTCTATTGGTAACCAGCGCCTGATTAGGCCCAGGGATTGCAGAGTGAAGATTTGCTCTTCCCCTGAACCCTCCCCCAGCCTTCAATTCTAGATGTGGGAAGGAAATGTCTATCAGGTACTACTGTTTGGTATGGGCATACCAAGGGCCAAGATGAAAATAATCCTGGAACCGGCTCTTCTCAGAAAGTCAGAAATATCTGAGTTATCTAAATTCAGCAAGAAGACGGCTAATGTTTATAATAATTTTCTTGCTCCCTTGGTTTCTCTGTTGGCGTCTAGGTAGCTATTTCAATTCCATTTGATTACTTTCTCCAAAGGGTCTCTAGAGAGCTAAGTCTATTTGAAAAAATATTGTGTCACAAAAAAACCCATTCATATAGCGGGGCACAGTGGGTGGCCCAGGAATGACAGATATGGTGGGTTCTCCAAAAATTGCTCAGAGGACTAGATTGACAGATTGAATTGTCTAGGGAGAGTGGCTTGGGTGAAAATGAAGAAGATCAACAACTCAGTAGAAGGCTTACCTCCAGGAATACTCTAATTTAATTGTAGACTTTCAGTAATATTGTGGGAAGTTACTCCCACAATTACATCAGAGTTGTATGTCCAAGCTTTTTTGATAGAGGTACTCATTTTTGCTGTGCAACTTAAAGCTTACCACCTACTGTTATCAGCGTAAAAGTAGGTCACATGTGTACCGTTAAATCCCTGAATACCTCACTGTATCTTAACACTCAACAAAGGCTTAAGAGGTATTTTTAAATGAACAAATTAAAAATTGAGGATAGATTGGCTATAATGTGGATACTGATAGATTCTTAGGGATACAGTGTCCTTAAAAATCCAGTTTTTTTTGTTGTTGCTATTGTTGATTTATTTCTACAAAAAAAAATTAAAATTCAGTATAATTTGGGGGCACTTCTATCTAGAAATACTTCAGAAAGAGAAAACAGATGACTGACTCAATGGGAAGCCCTAAATTATATTGCTGATCACTGTGATGATCACTCCATTTCTCATTCATTGGTTCGTTTTAGTAACACTGTGGGCCACAAATGTGTCAGCTTTCAATTGTTCTCAATTCCTTCATCCATAGTTCAAAATAAACCAAAATATTTAATTTTATCACCTTATCTCACTTATCCCACACCATAGTTTAAATATCCAAAAAGATAAAAATCAATTGCATTTCAATTTCCTTTTCTTTGATGTTATAATAAACAGAAGAATAATTCTTTTGATTATTACAATGGTTCAGAAACACTGTTTTGTGTTCAAAATGAAACATTTCACTTAATCTGAGAGGTAGATTAGGAAAACTAAAGGAGCTGAGAACATTTTGTTTAGAAAAATAAATGCTAACAAAAAACTTAAGGACTGAATATTTAATAGTTAGATTCTGCATAAAAGTGATCATTTTAAAATTTTTATCCACTGAAGACAGTGAAAGAGTAAAACCTTGAGATTCGCAAATAGAGGGATAATCTAAAAAAAAAGTTTGCTTCAGAGTAAAGCTTCCTAACAGCACTGTCAGCGATTGCAGTGGAATACCACAAGAAGATGAACCTCTCATCCACTGGGCATGCTGGCTATGGATGAATTTAAAAGTCAAAAGTCAAGATTCTTGGCTGAGTTGCATCAGGTGCTGACCTGCTCGTAAGAAGCTATGGAAAGAATGACTTCCCATGGCTATTTCCTACTCTATGATTTAATGATTACAAATAGAAAGTATAGATTCTGACAAACAAATGGGACTACATCAAACTAAAAAGTTTTTTCACGGCAAAGGAAACCATCAACAAATTGAAAAGGCAAACCACTGAATGAAAAAACACATCAATGATATACATCTGATAAGGGGTTAATATCCAAAATTTATAAAGAACTTCTACAACTCAACACCAGAAAAACAAACAACCCAATTTAAAAATGTGCAAGGGACCTGAATAGACATTCCTCCAAAGAAGACATACAGATGGCCAACAGGCATATGAAAAGATGCTCAACATCAGCAAACCATTGAATGAAAAAACACATCAATGATATACATCTGATAAGGGGTAAATATCCAAAATTTATAAAGAACTTCTACAACTCAACACCAGAAAAACAAACAACCCAATTTAAAAATGTGCAAGGGACCTGAATAGACATTCCTCCAAAGAAGACATACAGATGGCCAACAGGCATATGAAAAGATGCTCAACATCACTAATCATCAGAGAGATGCAAATTAAAACCACAATGAGATATCCCCTCACACCTGCCAGAATGGCTACCATCAATAAATCAACAAATAACAAGTGCTGGCGAGGATGTGGAGAAAAGGAAACCTTAGTGCCAATTTGGAAGCAGCCCAAATGTCCATCAGTAGATGAAAAGCTGTGGTACATTCACAAAAATGGAATATACTTGGCCATAGAAAAGAAGATCTTACAGCATGGATGGTCCTGGAGAGCATTATGCTAAGTGAAATAAGTCAGTCAGAGGAAGACCAGTACCATACAACTTCAGTCATATATGGAGACTAACAAACAAAATAGAAACAGACTCATAGCTAGAGAACAGACTGACAGCTGTCAGAGGGGTTGTGGGGCTGGGTGAAAACGGTGAAGGGATTAAGCAAAACAACAACTCATAGACACATGGTTATTACTAGAGGGAAAGGGGTGAGGGAGAAGGTAGATGAGGGTATAAGGGGACAAATGGTGATGGAAGGAGACTTGAATTGAGGTGGTGAACACACAAAAACAATATACAGATGATGTATTATAGAATTGTACTACTGAAACCAACTAATGTCACCCCAATAAATTCACTAATAAATACATACATAGGCAGAAAAAAGTATAGATTTTGAAAAGTCAGAAGGTAAAACAATTCCAAAACCTAATTTCTGAAGTTATTTGCATAGAATACTTACAGATTTTTCACTCGAGTTTTTGACTCACGATACCACAGACTAAACTCCATTGCACCTGAAATATCAATGGCAAGAGCACCCTGGACGTCTATATTGGCCTTCAGTCCAGATTGCAACTGAAGCTCCTAGAAGCAAAAATATGTAATAATAGTAGTAATAATCACTATTTAGCCAACCCCTTTGAAAAGGAACATTCAGCCTCCTGCTGTAGATAATACCATTTGAGCCGTGTTAATGTTGGAGTCTTTCTCTAGGCTTGGAAACACATTTTAGTTCTGAGTTGAAAGAGGAAATGGTTTTCAAAGTGTGGTTCCCTGACAAATAACATCAGCATCCTGGAAACTTGTTAGAAACACAAATCCCATACCTACTGAATTAGAAACTCTGAGGGTGGGGTCCAGCAACCAATGTTGTAACAAGTCCTCATGTGATTCTGATGCATTCAAATTTGAGAACCACCAGATTAGAGAAAATGAAGGCATCTCCATCAGGAATCCAGCTATGGCTTTGGAGTGGGGATGAGGGATTGGCTAGCTGACTGCTAGTGGTCCTTTACCACTTTTCTAGTTATATGCTGTGTCAAATATAGACAACTGCATCCTGCTGGCAAATGAAAATGATGATGAAAACTGCCAGTACAATGTAGATGTTCCAGGAATTGCCTCGTCCAGCTGGGAAAGGAAGGCGAGGCAATTGAACTAAGCCTTCATACCCTGCTCTTTGACATTTGAAATGACATCAAATTAATAAGTTGTGTCCAACATGAACTCAACAGCATATTCCAGAGGGACAATACTCGCTGACCAACACAGTCCCTTCTAAGCAATTTTATAGTTTTCTGAAATTCATTGTTTTGTACTGTTTGTACAAAGGCCAGCATTTAGCCTTTAAGTCTTGCAGTTTCAATGTATATTAATTAGCTCTGGGGATGTTGGCTGAAAACTTCTTCAGTTGGATTGGAATCAGATTGCCTGGGGACAGTGTTGGAAATGATAATGGTCTGGGAGGAAAGGCTCAGTATCCTTAATTTTGATATTCCTTCAAAGATCTTAGGTTTATGGTAACTGGCAGCATGACCAACTTTATGTCATTGCCCTACTCAGATCAAACCGTGTTTTCACCAACTATAAATGACATAATGTTGCTTTCTAGGAAGGATTCTGTTGATCTCCTAGAATTATCCTCACTTTCCAAAAAATGTGGCGGGAATGTCAGTCAAAGGACTTGGCTTACAACCAGGTATACTAAAAAAGTCTTCTTCTGGCATGAAGCTACCTTTAACTGAAAGACACTTGGACAAAAGAATGAGATTCTCAACATAGAGCTAAAGACACTAATATAAAAGAACACAAATTAGCCCTGGCCGGCTTGGCCCAGTGGATAGAGCGTCAGCCTGCGGACTGAAGGGTCCCTGGTTCGATTCCGGCCAAGGGCACATGCCTGGGTTGTGGGCTCGGTCCCGAGTAAGGGGGCGTGCAGGAGGCAGCCGATCAATGATTCTCTCTCATCATTGATGTTTCTATCTCTCTCTCCTTCTCCCTTCCTCTCTGAAACCAACAAAGAAATATATATATATTTTAAAAAGAACACAAATTACCTTGATAAAACCACAATAATCCCGTCCAAACTTGAACCTATGCCTATGAACTGCAGAACCATAATATCAGAGTTCTGCGTTTGCACTGTAATTGTGATTGTTCCTAAATGAGCCCTACTGGGTGCCCTGCCTCAGAAGTATTTCTTTCTTTGTTCTCAGTTTGAAAAATTATGGTCTGTGATGTGGACTCTGGCTTTTCTACTGGCCATACATTAGGTGGATGTCAAAACAAACCCACATTCTCAAAAGCGAAACAAAACCAAACAACGAGGTCAAGGGAGGGGGGCGGTGGGAAGAGAACATATGTAATATTCTTTGTAATACTTTAAGCAATAACGGATGTCAAAACAAACCCACATTCTCAAAAGCAAAACAAAACCAAACAACGAGGTCGGGGGGCGGGGGGGGAAGAGAACATATGTAATACTCTTTGTAATACTTTAAGCAATAAAACAAAATTAAAAAAAAAGACAGCAATAAAAGATTAAGTATTGAGAAAAAACAAACAAAAACCAAGTGTTGTGACACTCTTTACTCCGTGAGAGGGATTAAGCCACACAGTGCAGTGGTTGTCCCTTCCAGGGGTATAAAATGAGTGGAACGAACAGTTTTAAAGCCCCAACTGTGTCCTAAGAGCTCTGCATTTGACATCTCATGCAACTCCCATACTAATCTTCCATGGTGACATTACATCTAAAGGTTGAAAAGAAAAATCAGGCTTGGAGGCTACCTGTGGAGCCAGAATGAGCACCCAGACTGCCTCTGGTTGGGAAGACTGTTCTACTCCCACCCATGGCTATAACAAAATCATAACTGCTTTTTGTCTCGTGGTGTTCAGGGAAGCGTGTTCTGAGAAACACTGCAAAAGTGTTAGAGCAGAGGCTTATGCCCGTGTTTGACCCAGAGCGCATATTTATTTAAATTTTTGCCTATGAACTAGAGGAACAAGATGCTGAAGCTTTGCGTTTGTAGCTAACATGACCCCTTGGGTCTTTTACTTTTGGTCCCAAAGGTGTTTCTTACAGCTCAAACACTTATATTTTCACAACTCATTCCACTGCTTCCATTCAGGAAAATACGTTCTTTTACTCCATGAGAGGGAGTAAAGTTGCCTAAAGAGGGTACCCCCTATTATGACTAAAGAGGGTCCCCCCTATTATGCTGACTTATCAGACATCCTTCTCTGAAGAGTAATCCAATGATCTGAAAACAGAGAGTGAGCACAGAGTAATTCCATCTGCCCTGGTGGCTATGACAGGCCACCCACTGCCAAAATTTCCTTCAGTGTCAGCACTTGACCTAATGTGGTATGTGCCTCTGAAGCTGGACGACATTACTGGGTGCCTTGCAGAGCAGGGAGCCTCAAACAGCTTATCTGTATAATAACCCCAGATCTTCCAAATACTCCAACCTGAAATATACAGACATTGGGTTGTGTTTAATAGCCTGGGGATGATCTTTCTCTTCAAATATGCCTTAGGTGCCCTCGCTTAATGAATAAAAAAACCCAGTAAGATCATCTAGACCAGGAGTCAGTGAACTATGGGCTGGAAGCAAATCTGGCCCACTGGCTATTTTTATAAACAAAAGATTTTGAAACACTGCCACACTTATTTGTTACTATGTCACTATTGGCTAGCTTCACTCTACAATGGCAGAGCTGAGTAGCTGCAATAGAGACCACGAGTCCATGTGTCCACAAAGCCAAAAATATTTACTTTCTGCCCTTTCCATAAAAGTTTGACAAGCTTGATCTAGATTACTACTTATGTTTACAACCAGTTTTATACTTGGATTCATACTATTAGGCACTGTTGATGAGTAGCTGAGCACATACAGATGGTGCTGAACTATTATTATTCCTGTGTCTTAAAATATAAATTACAACCTCAGCACTCTTATGCCTTCTTAAGAGGATGAATCTCCCCAGAGGTAATACTGCAAAGGAAAGATACAGTGTATAGTTCTGACATAATATGAGAACTGTTTTTACATGAGGATTAAGGGATATGAGAGGCACTGCTGGTTGTCTTTCTTTTCACTCATATGAACAGAAACACAGTCTTGTATACAGTGCTATTCAACCATTTAAAAACTATATTTATCAGCTTCTCTTGCAGCTAGAAACATCCACATGACATAATTTTGGTCAATAACCAAAAGTTTTCCTTTTATAGATACTTAGTTTTTGTAGGAATGGATAGGGCTTCGAGGAAAGTTTCTGAAAAAGAGTCAGACTCTACTGCCCCTTCCTCCTTCTTGGATTGAGGTAATAGTGCTGGCAAGGCAGCAGCCATCTGATGATCATGGGGTGACAAGCATGAGGTTAAAAGCCACAAGTAAAAATGGCTGAGCTGAGGGGAAAAGAGCCTGGATCTTGTAATGACTTAGGATTTCTATAGCAACACATTACTTACTGGATGACTACTTCCAAATATTTGTTACATGATAAAAATCAAACTATTTGGTTACACTACCCTAGTTTTTTTTTGTTATATACAGCTATTTTGAAGTGCTGTGAGGAATAATAAAGATTGGACATTAATATTTAGTTTTAACCTATGATGCTTTGAAGGGGTTTTAGTAAAATCTGATACTTAAGGTCTCTCCCATGTCTTAAAATCTATGATTTCATAACCAGAACCCAACAAATCAGAATCCTCAAATTATCTGGGAAACAACAAAGCTGGTAAAAACTCTGGACTATCTGTTTCAAATGCCTTACTTCATTAGTAGGAAATCTTGGTTTAAAGCTATTAAGTACCTGCCCAAGAACATATAGAAAGTAATGAGTAGGGGCAAAATTCAAACCTACTCATGAATTTACTAAACCACAAAAGCAAACTTTCCAAGTCTTATAGTCTGTAGATTTTAATCCAATCTCCTCATATATCACTAATATCATAAGTATGAATTAGAGTACAAAGTGATCACTTTAGGGATTTCCTCTAGGATCTTTATTTAACAAATATTCCATTTTTTATATTGGTATGCTTAGTAAGGCAGGAAATAAGTCAAGCCATTAAAATTTTTTTTTAAGCATGAAACATTTGAACTCAAAGGTTATTCAGATTAACCCTCTTCTGTTTCCCAGAAAATCCACGGAGGCAGACCACTCCCATCCATAGTATCTTGCTCACCTAAATCTTACTGCACAGAAGATAGTATCATCATAACTTATCACGGTAATGTAAAACTTGGGGGTGAGAAAAACTGAAAATCATTCTGAAGAATACAGTTCAAGTGAATGGAAGTTCTCCTATTCTCTACTAATAAATGGTTAGATCTTATATGATTCTGTGAACATGAGAGTTTGGGGCAAAAAGTCTACATGTGGTTGGTGTCAGTGATTGGTTGTTCCTCTACTAATTTGTCAGGGTCAAAATGATGCACTACATGGCTCTTCATAATCGTCGTCATGATAAATGTCATCAGTAACTTGTGAAGCCATGTGGTTTAGCTCCTGCTTTAGAATAACTATCTAAGCCCTCATGTCCAGGAAAGCCACGTGAACAGAGATAATGCCATGTCTGCTCTGTTTTATCTTAGACTATTTCCTCCATCATTTCTTGTTTATGTTAGAATTCATATTTTATTTTTTTCAGTTGTACTGAAATATAATTGACATTATACTATACTCATATTATATTGAGAATTTTTTCTTTTGCCTTAACAGTGAGATGTCTTAACCAGCTAATAAAGGCAAAAGAAAACCTTGCTTATCTATAGCCAGGAGAAAGGGCAACAATACCAAGAGACTGAATGCTTAGAATGTGAGTTCCAAGATGCATGGAACTTTGTCTTGTATCCTCAAAGCATATAACACATTTAAAATATACCTGGTACATTTTAGGAATTCAATAAAATTTGCAGAATGAATTAATTACCTGGGAATGATCTATCAACAGAGCAAGTGCTTTCACCACACTGACAGGGTCACTAGATGCTGATAGCATTTTGGACATCAAATCACTGTATCCGTTGAAAAAAGTGACAGGTCTGAGTTGCACATCAAAGAGAATGACTGACAGGCCAGCATAGGAGTCAAGGTTCTCCTCCCCCGCATCGGGAGTGGCAGCAATTAAGGTCTCCAGTCCTTGGGCTTCAATGACCACCTAGGGAGAAATGGACATCACATTACATAACATGACATAACATAAGCTCCATGCCTGTTCTGTAAGCGATGGTGAGCTATAGCTAGAACTTTCCCAGGGGTTAATAATTCAAAAATCTACAGCAGCTAGGCAAAAACAAAACAAAAACAACTTTTATGCCTAAATATAACGTTTTCTTTTTTGTTGTTGTTGTTAATCCTCACCTGAAGATATTTTTCCATTGATTTTTAGAGAGTGGAAGGGAGCGGGAGAGACAGAAATATCGATGTGAGAGACACTCATCGATTGGTTGCCCTCTGCATGCCTGACCAGGGCTGGGATCAAGCCTGCAACCAAGGTATGTGCCCTTGACCGGAACTGAATCCAGGACCCTTCAGTCCACAGGCCATCACTCTATCCACTGAGCTAAACTGGCTAGGGCTAGTTAGTTTTCGTCATTTAATTCTCACAACCACCCTTTGGGATACATGTTATTTTATCCATTTTGTAGATGAGACAAAAAAAAAAAAGCTCAAATGCTGAGGCAGGATTCAAACCCCTCTGCCTAACTACATAGGCCACAAGCTTTCTATTTGATGGTGTCATCCCAGAAACCATTAGTCTCCCCAGAACTGTCATACAGATTGGGTCAGCTATTGTGGAGAGCCCCTAAAAGGAGGTGGAGAGGTGTTGGGACAGTCACCATAAGGCTGCTTCTATGGGACGGTGTGGAGCTCTCTAAACCATGACTCACACCTTTCGGGTCCAACCTTTTCTCTCTAGCTCAAAGGAAGCACGATGAATCTCACATCCTGATCTCTATTAGACACAGGAATCCTACATATGCTCTGTCCTCCCTACCCAGTCCCTTGCTACTGGGTACTAGCATTTCAGAGTGCATATCAGAAAACAGATGGTGATTCCTCAGGACAGGAGAGCGTACTGTTCTGTCTAGAGTTCTATCAAAGGGTAGAGTGAGTTTATATAGCACTGGATCATTTTTAAGACTCAATGAGTTTATTTAGAAGGTTACAATTTGATATGAATGAAAACTAAAAAGAAAGCATATTTCAAAATTAGAAAGCCTTGACCAAGTTTTAGATAAAACAAAAGGACAGAAATCAGCCAGCTGTCAAACGCCTATACTTTATTCTTTTCTCTCCGAGCAGTATTGGAAAAACATAGATTAACTCTTTAGAGAGCCATATTCTGTTATGAAAGTTTTAAAAGATATATTTTTGTTGATTTCAGAGAGGAAGGGAGAGGAAAAGATAAAAACATCAATAATGAGATTGGCTGCCTCCTGCACACCCCACACAGGGGATCAAGCCCACAACTTGGGCATGTGTCTGACGGGAATCGAACCATGACTTCCTGGTTCACAGGTTAATGCTCAACCACTGAGCAACACCAGCCAGGCTCTTATGAAAAGTTTTTATTTTGGGGAATGAACCTCTTCATGGAAATACCCAGAGAAAGAAAATATATTCTAGAATGAAATATCTGGAGCTCCAAGAAATATATCTGTGAATAGAAATTTTTTTAAAACACATGTGAGAAATACTGGCACGAAATCTATATATATATTTATATTTCAAGTTCATATTTGAAACTCTCTCTGGGACTATCAACCATACAGCCTCTTACAGATGATGAAATCATGGGTGATATATGGCAGCAGCCACCATTAATTTACACATTCTGTAATGTTACCATCAGTATATATCTTATTTTACCCCACACTAATTTTTTACATACTTTATCCAGCAAAATTAATGGAAAATGAGTTACCTGAGTACCATGGAGATGAGACTTCCCAATATACTGAAAGATGTTCACGTTACTTCTCCTTAGGATGCCAGAACCAGAGTAAAGAATGTCAAGACCGTAAGTGGATGCCGAATGGGGACTACCTAATGGCCAAAAAAGAAAAGAAAGCCAACCCTGTAATTTAATAGTTCCAGCAACCCACGCTGGGAGGGGCATGGAGGGAGGACCCCTTTAGGTTACATACGTCCTATGTAGCCAGTATAGGCAGAAGAAGATCCACTCTGGGCGAAACGGTCATAATTATGAGCAACCATCTCCTTCAGAACTCGACGGATCATTTTGCTGCAACACATAAAAGGGAAAGCTGCACATTCATTGTAATGACTGATTCCCAAGTCAGATTTGGAAAAAACCCAAGTCCTCCATGGAAAACACAGGGGCTGAAATTTCCTCACACTTCTCCAGGACTGGGCAGTGCCAGCTGGAGTGCCAGCACCAGGGTCAGGGCTTTCCCCTTCATTCCTCAGCAAGATGAGGACATCGCTGTGAGCCAGTGGGAGCTGGCTGATGGACACGCCTCAGCAGTGGACAAACATATTTTTTGAGTCACTTTGGTTCCACTGATAAACAGCATACACTTGAAAAGAAAGCTGTCCTGAACTGGAGAGGTTGCCAATTTTTCCTTAAACATTTTCCTACACCCTCTAATGTTATCACTGGCTAATTACAACTACATAATAGTAAACTTTCAGGAATTTCTTTTGTGTTCATGTACTTTTCAATTAAAAAAAAAATCTCAGCGGGAGAAACAAAGATGGCGGCATAAGTAAACACCTGAAATTTCTGCCTTGCACAACCATTTCAAAAATACAACTAAAAGACAAAACGGACATCATCCAGAATCACAGGAAGGCTGGCTGAGTGGAAATTCTACAACTAGAAGGAAAGAGAAAAACACACTGAGACTCAGAGGAGGT